AATGGGAAGAGGAACGTGGGCACGCTAACAAGAACAAACATGTTATATTATATGTAGTATTTCTTTTTTGGGAGCTGATTTCCCCACTCCTATTTTCTCCACTTACACTCCATTTTGCTTTTTAATACTTTTTAATCAATTTTGTTCATTCTCTTTCCTATTCTACCCTTACCCAACATTAATTTCTTTTTACTTCACTTTTATTTTAGTTCTTTTTCTTTATACTTATTTTATTTTATAAAAGTTGAGAAGGTACGGAAGAGAGAATTGAGGTGGATGTTGCAGAGAGTGAAACTGTGAAAAAGAAAATTGAAGGTATTGTTTTTTGTTTTTTTTTTAATTTTCTTTTTCAAAGTGGGGTTGGGCTTGTTTCATTTTAAATTTTTTTTAAAGATAATTTTAGTCTCTATACATTATAATTTTATTCTTTATAAAAAATGATATTCTCTTTCAGATAAGACATTAACAAAAGTGCCTAAAATTATTTTAAAAAATAAATAATTTATGAAGAATAATGCAATGTTTTTAAAAGAAAACTCGTCGTGTACAATTGAAGTTTGGATGGAAAGTACTATTTTTCTGTTTTTCTAGTGTTATTTTTCTCTAAAAAAATTTCGAAACTTTTACACTGTGACCCCTAGACCCGAGAATCCTGGATCCGCCACTGGTACCTTGCGACCTTGCGAAAGTCCCCGGTTGTGTGATGTGCAACATCCTCTTTGAGGGACTTCTTATAGCGAGAGTGATAAGCCTGCCTTGCCAAGAGTCGTTCAAGTGAAGACCTACTGCAGGCTATTTCAGTAAGAACCTGATTGCTTTTAGTCCACTTCTTTGTTGCTTCATTGGCCAAAAATGCATCGCGTTCAGCTGGATCAAGTGTCCAAAGCAGTGTACTCCTCTGGTTAAGAGAAATTCAGAAACCCAAATATGTCAGCCCTTTCAACGATGCGCTTGCTTCCTCCCAAAAGTTAATCAGCCAAACATTAAACTTGTGAAAACTAGTATCATGGATTCTTATCCAATCATGAAAAAAGATAGCTGAAAACAATGAGCTAAATCTCTGCCTTGTCTTGGCAAAAATCAATCATGGTAACAATTTATGTAAAACATGCAGTCAAATTATCTCAAACTAATGCAAAAATTAAAGTGCATTCTTAATTTGACCTCAAAATCACTTGTAAGTTCTTTTTCCAGCTCCTTGAGAAGATCTTCTCCATAAGCTTCAGCATAAGTTTGTCGGATTACCTTTCTTTGAGCGGCATTTCTATGCCCCAAGATGGATATGATTAAGTCCTCATTGGTTCCCCATCCTGCAATTGTATTGATAAAAATTCAAGATTACATGAAACCAAACACCCCAAACATGAAAATTCACATAAAAGAAAGAAAGAAGATAAACTCAGGTCTAAACTATTTTAGCTGTTTTCTATAATTATTTATTCATGTCAAAATACCATTTTTCATGTCAAATCAGGTCCTTTACAAACCTGCTATAAATCTATACGTACCCATCATTGTTTTTTTTCTTTTTAGAAATTATCCCAAATGCATTATTTTCTTCTGACACAAACAGAGCTTTGGTGCAGAGTGATCACCGTTTTACAAAAGCAAGCAATCACATTCATATGGGCCTTTCATCAACCCACCAAACCTCATGTACACAAAACACAAATCTGATGCATCTGATCATTGATGACAGAGAGAGTCAAGAGAGAATTAGCAGAACGAAATCAAAAACAAAAACAAAAAGGATCCTTTTTACATTATCATATCATTTACGTTTTATCTAACACTAACAATGGATCGGTGAAATGGGATTGATCAATCATCAATCATAAAGCCAATTACAAAATATGGGGGTGGTTTATGATGAGAACAGGAAATGACGCGAGGGAGTAAAAGATCAGCTTGTCCAATATAGGTCCTACTTTCCTAGACATATACTCATCATCCTATAAATTTATGTGTAAAACCCAATTTCAAACTTAAATGACTAGTAGGATATAAGAGGTCATATTATTCCTATGTTTTTACATTGTTGCCATCAGATCTTATATTTTATTTATAATTTATTCCAAATATTTCATTAACTGCCATAATTGTAATTAAAACTCCCTATTAATAGTATATCAATCACCCCATTTCTTTTGGTTGCCATTCCTTCTAACATATCGCACCCTAAAATTGCAAATCAAAAAATATATATATTTAAATTACATATCCAATAATGTACATATGAAAAATATATATGTACAAAAATATAGGTATATTATTTACCAAAAAAAAATTAAAAAAAACTTGGTCAGTTACTTTGTAATTGAAATTTCCGTATATTTTTTAGGTAAATTGTTTTACTAGGTATACATTATTAGAGAAAAAAAATAGGTACATTATTTAGAGAAAAAAATAGATACAAAATTTAGCAAAAAAATAGGTTCATTATACTAGGTAAATTGTTTTACTAGGTATATTATTAGAGAAAAAAAAACAAATACATTATTTGGAGAGAAAAAATAGGTTCATTTAAAAAAAAATTGTTTTCATAAAACAAACAATAAAAAGATGATCAAATTATTTTTCATAAAACAAGTAATAGGTGCTTTATTTAGAGAAAAAATAGGTTCATTTAAAAAAATATATATAGATTATCAAATTATTTTTCAATATAATTAGAATGTACACTATTATTCATAAAACTATAATAAAATAGATTACTAGTCGTATAATTCATAAAAGGAAAACAACATAATTTTTTTATTAAATAAATCAAAATGTTAATCACCTAGATTACTAATACGTTAATATTGAATTTAATATTTAATTTCAAATAAGTTTCTAAATTAATTCCTACATCCATTATAACCATTTACAACCATTTGGAGATCTTTCCAAATTCAACGTGTGTCGACATTAGTTACACCCCATAACACATTAACTTATAAATATGGATAATTTTGGAATCCAAAAAATACAATAAATCAGATTTTAAGTTATATTAGGTAACTTAATTAGTTGAATCCTCATCATCGGATATTATTTGAAAAAATTGGATATTTTAAATATAAAAATAAAGAAAATGGTTGTAGGTGATTTAAAATGAATTTTATGGGTCTAAACTCAATTTACTAAAATAATAAAGAAGGAACCTTTGAAGGCCTTTTTGAGCTGCTCACAGTCTTCGGATGCAGTGCGTGAGTTGTCGCCATTTTTGAAGTTTTGATGGAGAATTTCCTTTGGTTTGGTGTTAACATCCAAAGGAATGTTAATTGCTTTTTTCTAGGTCATTTGGACGTGGGATCTATAATTAATTTTTACCCTCCCATTATAATAATTTTTTGAAATCAAAATCCTCAATTCAGAAAAGTGTACTTTTATTAAATGAAATGTACCAAAAACATTATAATAATTTTTTGAAATCAAAATCCTCAATTCAGAAAAGTGTACTTTTATTAAATGAAATGTACCAAAAAAAAAAACCTCAAAGTTAAAAATAACTTGTAACGAATTGAGACGATTATAATAACAGATTAACAAAATAAATTAAAATTTCCGGTGGGCACGGTGGGCCGGCTACCAGTGTTTGTAATTAGGGTTGAAGCTTCCTTTCAAGATGATTAAGTGAAAAAAAATTATTTAAAAAACCTACGAAAAATGGAAAAGTTTTGTAAGTGTCTATATTATATATACAGGAGCAGAAAATTACACTGAAAAAACATATAGAAGCTTTATTTTACATACATATATATAGTGGACTCAAACAAAGACCCTGGGAACAGAATCTACTGGCATGCAGTCGGTCTCCCTGAGCTCAGTCTTCAACCCTTTCCCTCCTCCATTAGCCAAAGGATGCACCGCAAGCTTCGGCCCCGCCATGTACGCTCGCTTCTCTCTCTCCTCATCGAAGCTCACCCCGTACCTCATCTGAACATCTATTGCTAGCTCCGGCCGCAGTTGACCGTCCCTGGTCAACGCCAACATAGCCTGCGGAATCCCAAGCGGCAACTCATCCCCCCTATCCACTTGCCAAAAATGAATCGTCTTCCCGTACGTCTAGCACACCTTGTCCAGGTCCTCCCTCTGGATGGGGCCCGGTAGACCCGGCATGAAGAGAACGCCGCTCTTCACCTCGTACTCGTGCGAGTGCCAGAGCGGCTTCTCGTCATCAGGGAGGGTGAGGAAGAGGAGTTCTGAGATGATGTACGCGAGGCCGATGAGTTTTGCATCGGCCTCAGGGCTGTCGTAGATGAGGCACTGGCGCATCTCTTCGTTCTGGTGGGCGCAGAAGTGGTGAGCTTCCAGTTGACGGGTCATGTCGTGGGAGTATAAGTGGAAGGCGCAGAGGTGCTGGTGGATGCTGTTGATGGGGCTGAAGCTTTGGACTGTGGCCGTTGCAGTCTCGAGGATGGCCATGCCCGTCGGGGTTGGCTCGCCGGGGACTCGTGCGTGAGTTGTCGCCATTTTTGAAGTTTTGTTGGAGAATGGTTTCCTTTGGTTTGGTGTTAACCGGTGACAAAGGAACATTAGCAGACTGATTTTATAGCAATTGTTTTTTGCTTTAAGGCTGGTGGATGCTGTTGATGGGGCTGAAGCTTTGGACTGTGGCCGTTGCGGTCTCGAGGATGGCCATGCCCGTCGGAGTTGGCTCGCCGGGGACTCGTGCGTGAGTTGTCGCCATTTTTGAAGTTTTGTTGGAGAATGGCTTCCTTTGGTTTGGTGTTAACCGGTGACAAAGGAACATTAGCAGACTGATTTTATAGCAATTGTTTTTGGCTTTAAGCCATGACAGATGGCACAAGAAAGGATGTGGTTTGCATGCAGAGGTGAGGTCGTGGAAGAGTTTAAGCTATTTCGTTTGACCAGCTGGCTGAATGAAAGCCTTAGCACCAAAATAGAAAAATAAATTTGGAACATATTGCATGTTATTTAAAGTGTAATTTGGACAACGGAGGAGGCACTTGTCAATGCTCATCATAAGACACGTGTAGATGGTGATACCAACAAAAGCTAATCGACGCTGGAAATGACCGTGGCATATTATTATCACGGATTAATTATACAATTTAAGATTAATAATAAGAATAAAAATCAAAACATTTCCTATTCAATTTGCCAAAAGTTAAATAATTACAGGGCAGTGAAGGTTTTTTTTTTTTTTTTCTCTTTTTTTTTTTTTTTGGGTTTT